TCAATTTCAAGCATGCCTTTTGTGGAAACAACTTTAATTACCATTTATAAATAGTTCAATGAATGTTTCTTTCTCTGTATCTGTGTCTCTCTCCCTTTTCCCAACACAGGAAATTTGGCTTTGGTTGGAAACCCCCTTTACATTATATGTTTTTCAGTAAACCGACATGCACATCAGAAGTTTATGTCTAGTCTAATTAACATACACAAGAAGCTAGTTATGAAGAGAGCTCCACTATTAATTGCCTAGCCTAATAGTATTTGGATCCTGCTTAATTAGTTGATAAGCAATTGACACAATTGTAAGTATCATGAAATGGGACCACTATAATGCATCTATCCATTACTTTGGATGAGCAAAGCTAGTAAGTTTCTTCTTTATATTTCTACAAGATGTTATATTGCTATTATTTAAGGGGTAAAAGCAAATATTTCAAATTTGAAAAAGAAAAAAAAAAAAAAAAAAAAGGAATGTAAAATATCCATTACTTCCAGGAAGATTACTATTTTTTTTTTTTTTTGGGTACAAGTGATAGTCTACGTACCTAAAGGGGAGGGGGATTTCTCACACATAGTACACACACAACTAAGATGCCATGGGGATTCGAATTTGAAACCTCTTATAAGTCAATGTCTTTTTCCATAGGCTAAACCCCATTAACAGGAAGGATACTACTTAAGGCAATAGAAAATCGTAACATCTTATGGTTTAGAAAAGAACTAGTGGCATCATGATGGTTCATATATTATTCCTTGGTAATTAAAGTCACTAACTAGATAATTAATTCATCACAGCAACCATAGGCTCCCACACCATGTTCATAAAGTTTTAGAATTTTATGTCCCCTAAAAGTTTATTAATATTTTGCTCTTTAATCCCATAGTTCCTCTTTAGGAAGAAAGTAGTGAGGAACTTATTTCAAGAATCTTGTTGTTGAAAGTTTGATGAAATAAGCCACATAAATAGAAACAATCCTTTGCTAGGTAGCTTTTCTCATGGTAAGAAACTTTACACTCAAAAACTTCTTTGTCTATTAAAGTTCATCTTATACACTCAAATTCTGAATACATTATCTGAAAACTTTTCAGTTTTTGGAGATTATTTAAATATTTGATATGTTTAAGCAATGCTATAAATGCAGCCTACTTATAGCATTTGAGGATTTGGTACATATTTAACTTGGTGTTCTTCCTTGAGCACTAGTCTCATGCATATTGGTTGGACTACATGTCTAATATTAGGTGTATATATCCATGTATCAATAGATGGCATTCTTTTGTGGTAACTAGTAGTGTTATGTATTCTTACTTTCTAGTCTTTTATAGATTCATATATTAATGCTATGATTGCATACCATGCAGTGTTAAAGAAACAATTGAGAGGTACAAGAAGGCATGCGCAGAGTCTACAAATACCGGATCTGTTTCCGAAGCTAGTACTCAGGTATTATTTACTCTGATGACAGATACTTGACAGAAAAGTTTGGAGTACGATTTTAAAAGTGAGATTAGCTCTTTCTGGTCTCCGGATTTCATTATCATATACTTTCTCCTCTAAGGGTGTGAATATTGAACTACTGATTAGAAATTGGTTTCAGTTATGTAGATCATGAACAAAACCAATCCATGACTAAGACAAGTCTTGTTTTCCTTTTGTAATTTTGGATCTCTTTAGTCTCATCATAATCATTTCCAATATCAATCCTGGAATTTGGATGAGCCATATAAATCCAGTTGTTCTTTTCATTCTATTACAACCAAAAATACCGGTAAAGCTAAAGCTTTTAGTTGAATGCCTTGGTAAGAAGTTAATATATTAATTGATAGAATTGCTTTACATATATGAGCCCTAATTTATAATAATTGTATATATTACATATATATTACACACACACACACATACACTTATGTGGAATATATATATATATATATATATATATATAATTGGTAAAGCACTAAGAATGAATTTTTAATGCATGCATCATAACTAGTAAAGCAGTGTTTATTGATTTTGATCATATTTTCAATGAGACGTTTTAACCATTGATTTATGGATGTAATTCGCAGTACTACCAACAAGAAGCTGCGAAACTGCGCGCTCAGATAGGGAATTTGCAGAACTCAAGCAGGTAATCTTAAAGGGATCAATTTCAACCCTAGTTACCAAAAGCTTTCCCAGATCCCAGATTTTCAAATTGGCAGCCTTTTCTTTGACAGGCATATGATGGGCGAGTCATTGAGTTCTATGAATATGAAAGACCTGAAGAATCTGGAGAGTAAACTAGAGAAAGGAATCAACAGAATCAGATCCAAGAAGGTATCTCTTCTATATTTATGATGGATTTTTGCGATCTGAATTATTTACTTGTATTTTGATAGCTTTTGCATAGACATTGACAAGTTTTTCCTTTTCTGTTTTCATATATTTCTTTCCTATTAATCTTTGATCCTCTCTCTCAGAATGAGCTCTTGTTTGCCGAAATTGAGTACATGCAGAAAAGGGTACCACTCTTTGACTCTTCCTCATTTATAAAGTTGCATTCTCTTACATGCATTACTACATTTCTCGTCATATTTGAAAAGTTTGTTGAGTATCACTGCCCAATGCATGTTTACCAACTTATCAAGTAAACAATTTACTTACATGCATGTACTGGTATGTTTGATCTATTGTAAATGGGTTCACGATCATATGCATTTGGAGACTGTAGGCTGGCATCAAATTGTCTTTATCAACTGAGTGCATGCATGTTAGAAGCTAGTGTTAAAAGTTATCACTTGTTTGCTGAATGTTTAATTTGGTCAGAAGTTCTCATGAAAACTTGATTGAAGCTTAAAATTTCTGGTTAAGCTTTCTTAAATTTTCTTTTGATTTTTAACAAAACCTCTCTTAACCATTTTGTTGTCATTAGGTAATGTTCAATATGGTTCTTTTAGCTTCTATAAGTTGACTAACAGTGAATTCTTTACATGTTACCATAAAATGGTATATGAGGTAACCAGAAGTTGCACTCACACTGCTCAAAATCATTCATATAAGTTTTGTTCTGTTAATGAAACTAATTTTTCTTGGTTTTCATTGACATTATAATGCACCTAGCAGGAAATTGACTTGCATAACAACAACCAGCTCCTACGAGCAAAGGTGATCCCTCTCTCTCTCTCTCCCTCTCTAGAAAAATATGCATGTGATGTGCGCTCGCGTGTGTATTGTATTTGTGTTTGTGTTAGTAGTATGTAGTACGTAATTAGTAGTGATTCATGGGGCTTGTGAATGGGATATATAGATAGCTGAGAATGAGAGGAGCCAGCAAAACATAAATGTGATGGCTGGAGGGGGAAGTTATGAGATCATGCAGTCTCAGCCATATGACTCTCGGAACTATTTTCAAGTGAATGCATTACAACCCAATCATCAGTACAATTCACGCCAAGATCCGATGGCCCTTCAATTAGTGTAAGTACGCATATATCCCAAATTATCAACCTCATAACAAATTACCATTCACATTGTAATTTGACTGCACATATATTAGATGCAAGCACCATTACATGCATCCCTTCAAACAGTTTCCTTTTACATTCCTGTGCAGTTAATGTGCTTGGACGACCGTCGTCTCTGCCGAATTAATTTTCTATGGTGGGTATGTAAAGACACCAGATGATGATAGCTACGGGCACTTTGTCAAGTAGTAGGAAGCATAAATCATCAACTTGGCTCTGTGGAAGACGTTGGTACCTAGTACATTAGTAGAAGGGGATTTCTTTGTCTGTATTTTAAATATGTGCCTGCAGCTATGTGTACTACTAAAAACTCTGTGAGTGACGTTACACTAACAAGTTCCTCCAACTCTCATGTGATTGAATATTTTATAATGTTGGTTTGAACATCTATTATTATATGTCTCATACATCCAAGCGTACATATAGTATATTAATTTCTCTCTCTCTCTCTCTCTCTCTCTCTCTCTCTCTCTCTCTCTCTCT